AGGCGGATGCCCAAATGGTGCACGAGGTCCAGCATCTGCAAAGCACTTCGAGTCGCAGACTGATAAAAAACGGCCCCATAATCTAAGCGGGTGCGAATGAGGCTTCTATACAGATTCATGAGACATTGCCTGTCACTACCCCACGTAGTACGAGACAACACTTTTAAAACATTCATGGCTTTTAAACCTTTTGTTTTTAAATACTTGATGTGCGGTACAAAGGTCAACTTGTTGTCCAAGATTAAGCCTAAGAATTTATGTTCCGCATTAACTGACAGGCGTTGACCGTTCAGTTCAATGTCGGGTTCTGAGTGCATGCCTCCCTTTCGGGAGAACAAGACACACATGCTTTTTTGTGGGTTCAGTCGGAATCCGTTTTCCTCTTCCCATTTGGAGACCTTGTTTAAACCTAACTGAACCTGCCGCTCACACATTGCCAGGTTGCATGACTTAAAGCCAAGCTGGACGTCATCGACATATGTGCAATAGAACATGTTGCGGGGAATGGACAGATGCAAGGCATTCACTTTGATAATAAAAAGTGTACAACTAAGTACACCACCTTGCGGTACACTCCCCTTTCTTGGACAAATGTTTGGGAGAGAATACTGCCCACACGGACACGGAATGTCCGATTGGACAAGTAACTCTCGATTATGGAAAGCATTCTACCGCGCACACCCAAGTGAGACAGGTCTCTTAATATGCCAAGACGCCATGTTGTGTCGTATGCCTTCTCGATATCGAGAAACGCAGAGAGGAAGTATTGTTTGTGGACGAAAGCGTCTCGGATCTCTCCCTCAATGCGCACCAGATGGTCGGTGGTGGATCTACCCTCTCGAAACCCGCACTGGAACTGGTCAAGCAGATTGTGTGTTTCGAGGAAATGTAAAAGTTGGCGGTTTATCATCTTCTCAAAAAGTTTACAAAGGCAGCTTGTAAGTGCAATGGGCCTGTAACTCGAAACTGCGGAAGGGTCCTTGCCCTGTTTCAAAATAGGGATAACAATAGCCTTTTTCCAGAGAGCAGGGATGGTGCTAGAAAGCCAGACAGCATTGTATAGGGAGAGTAAAGTTTTTCGCGTTTCGAGCGGCAGGTTTTTCAACATTTCATACGCGACACGGTCGTAGCCTGGGGCAGAATTACTGCAGGAGTTTAGTGATGTTTGTAGCTCAGCTAAGTTGAAAGGTTGGTTGTATGCCTGGTAATTTGTACATTTGTATTCTAGTATCTGCTTTTCTATCCTTCTTATGTATCTTTGGAAAGCTTCAGTATAGTGTGACAAGCTAGACAACTGCTCGTAGTGTGCACCAAGGAAGTTCGCCTGATCTTCCAGGCTGTCACCCTGTGTGCTTACGAGTGCGAGTGAGTGTACTTGTCTTCCTGCTACCCTACCAACCATGTTCCAGACTTTAGCCTCTTGTGTATATGAATTCATCCCTGATAAAAACTTGTGCCAGCTTTCTCTTCTGGCCTGCCGACGCGTTCTCCTGCCTTGAGACTTCATTTTCTTAAAGCTGTCAATATTTTTGGCTGTCGGTGAATTCCGAAGCAACCTCCATGCTCTGTTCTACTCCTTTCGCGCATTCCGACACTCAGTGTTCCACCATGGGACGCATCACTTGCCCGGCATACCAGATGTTTGCGGTATGCACTTGGCTGCTGCATCAGTAAGAAAAGCATTGAAGTACTGCACAGCTTCATCTATATTTAACCTACATATGTCGGTCCAACTAAAACGAGCAGTGTTGTGAAACTGTTTCCAGTCTGCTTTGTCTGTCTGCCATCTGGGAACATGTGGAGGACCTTTTTCTAGTGGTGTACTTAGAATGATCAGAAAGTGATCACTTCCGAAAGGATTGTTGATCACTTTCCATTGAAGTAGGGGTACGAGCGATGGGGACACAATGCTGAGATCTATGCATGAGTTGGTTTTGTTGGTGAGGCTAAAGTATGTTGGCTCTTTCCTGTTCAACAGACATGAACCCGAAGAAAAGAGGAACTGTTCGATTAGACGACCTCGTGCGTCGCAACGAGAGTCGCCCCATAGACCATTATGTGCATTCAAGTCACCAAGGACCACATAAGGTTCCGGTAGTTCATGTGTCAGTGACTCGAATTCGTGTTTTTCGAGACGGTACTGTGGAGGTATGTAAAGAGAGCAGATGGTGACAAGTTTGTTCAAAAGAACTGCTCGAACAGCCACTGCCTCAAGGAATGTTTGTAGCGGTAGATGTGTACATGCTACGCCCTGATCAACTGTAATGCCCACAGCACCAGATGACGCTACAGCGTTATTGCGGTCCTTTCTGAATATTACATAGTGACATAGAAAATCGGTGTTTTTGGAATTTAAGTGTGTCTCTTGTACACACAGCACTTTTGGGGAATGTTTGTCAAGAGTTCCTGGATGTCGTCGAGGTTTCTAAGCAGCCCTCTGACGTTCCATCGTATTATTTGTGCGTCCATTTTGATTGTGAATGAGTGCTGTGTGTACTAAAGAAGTATTGCATCAAGTCAAGAAGCCTTGTCAGGCCCCGTAATGATGGTTTTTGATTTCCTGGCGCGCTCCAAAGAGCCGCGCCTCTCCTTCGGTGCCGAAGACACTGCTGGACTTGCTGTTGTGTCCATCACCTCGGACGAGTGCTGGATGCCCGCTCGCGGTTCACGCATGAAGGCACGGAGGTCTTAGGGCTATCTGTGGAGACAGAAGGCCCTGGGGCTTCAGGTCCGGAGGCCTGCAAGCCTTTTGGTGGCGGAAGAGCCTGTGCTACTTCCGCTGAGGGGGTAAATGGCACTGCCGCTCGTCCACTTTGTGTGGTACGTGCAAGCGCCGCGGATATTGGTGGCACTGCCCCCTTTCGTGCCACCTCCATGAACGAAGGTCCCTGCATTAGTAGACGCTTGCGTGCCTCCCTAAATGAGATGTTTTCATTTACTTTCAGGGTGAGTACTTCTTTTTCATGTTTCCATGTAGGGCATGTGCGAGAGTAAGCGGGGTGTCCACCATCGCAGTTCGCGCAGTGTGTAGTGGTTTCTTCACAATTGTCTGTGGCATGGTCGTGCGAACTACACTTTGCACAGGTTTGACGGCCACGGCAGCTCTGAGAACCGTGGCCGAATCGCTGGCACTTAAAACAACGTCGGGGGTTGGGGATGTAGGGTCAGACCTTTAACTTCAAGTAGCCTGTTTCGATATATTCTGAAGTGTGCTTGTGCAAAATGTAAGAATGAGGTGCTTTGTAGGGGTTTCTTTGTTGTCACGCCTAATCTTAATTCTCTGTACATGCGTTGCATGCTGTTCGTTCCAGCCCTCAAGTAGCTCACTCTCTGTCAGGTTAATTAGGTCTTGATCAGACACTACGCCTCAGGAACTGTTCAGAGAGCGGTGTGGTGTGATAGATACAGGTGTTGCTCAAAAAGAGGTGAGTTTTCTCAGGTTTTCATACTGGCTCTTGGTTTGGACTTCAAGAAGAAGGTCCCCGCTAGCCATACATGTAGCCTGATATCCTGAACCTAGTGTATTGGTGAGGCATTTAGAAACGACAAAAAGAGAAATGGTTCTTGCGTTCTTTTCTTGCATTTCACAGTGGATCACATGGAAGCGCCGGGAAGATTTCTTTCGGCTTTATAAATACATTCAGTGTTGCTTCGGTGCTGCCCCTCTTAGGAGGAGGGCTGATGAGACAGTTTAGGAAATGAAAAAGAGGCCATAATGTATATATAAATTCGGCAGCCATGCCAGCCGCCCACCATCGAGACCAACATGGGGACGCGGCAGCACAAGGCATGCCAGCGCCAGCTGTACAAAGCCACTATAACCCAATATTATGTGACCAAGAGAGGGCACATACACAAGGTTAACCCTTGCCGCCTGGAAGATGGAAGTAACCAGAAGTGAGGAGATGACAGGAAAGATTGGAAGAGAGAAAAGACGAAGATCAGGAGGGAGAGAGAGACAGGAAAAGGCGACTGCCGATTTCCCTGGGTGGGTCAGCTCAGGGGTGCCGTCTACGTGAAGCCGGAGCCAAAGGGGTGTGTTGCCTCTGCCGGGGGGCCTTAAAGGTCCAATCACCCGGCGTCGGCTCAACCCCCAGGATCCCCTTTTCCCCGGACACGGCAAAGCCACGCACGGCTAGGCGTGGGAGGGAGTCAAAACCCCCTCGTTAGCTCGGGTCCGTGGTGTCGCTACACACCAAACGCCTGCTTACGCAGACGCCCCTGCGGGAATTACCTACTGCGCAGTCCAAGACCTCGTACCTAGCCATTATCACTTGTTCCGTAAGTTAAAGGAACACTTAAGAGGCTAATGCTTTTGGAGTGACCATTAAGTAAAAAAAAAAAGGTGGAAGGCTTCCTTAGTAGGTTGGTGCCAGAGTTCTACGAGATTGAAATACTGAAATTGGAACACTATCTAAAAAAAGCATAGAAAAAGATGTCAATTTAAAAAAAAAATAACCGAGAAAAATGTTTGTATTTCCAACAATGTACATTGCTATGAAAATAAACAATGTTTTCTATTTGCAACCTTGATGGGAACCTTATTTCTGTATCAACATTCGTAGTTTCTCTGCCCCGCGTCATCCCTCCCTGTGTAGCGTCCAGCGTGCTTGTCGGGACGAGACGAGAGAAAGTGCTTAACGCATGCAACAAATCGCTTAAATCCATTTGTTCTTGATGGGTGAGAGAAATTCCTACAGTAACTGATTCATGAGGTAATAACCTCTCAAATTGAGGTCATTCATTGATTACATACACGGAAAAGTGATTCATGAAACACTTTAAGAGTATAGTGCAAGGTTGCTGAAATATTTATTCACATCTACACTTGCTTGGCTGAAGTGTCCATGAAACTGAGGATTGTGCTATTATCCAGAAATCTTACGATTGATGGTATCAATTAGGCATACCAACAAGCTATGAAGTACAATAGTCATTCCATAGAATTCATTTAATAGAACTTATTTTAAAAATCGGGATACAGCAACATCATTTCTTACCTCGTCTGCCCCGTGTTCTTGGAGTTCCTTGTAGAATTTCAATGAAATGCTGACCTGTGAAAAACAGGGTAATGGTTATGTCACAGTGAAATGGAAGCCACAAATTGAATCATGCAGAATATAACAAAATGACAGCAACATATGCATAGCTCATCCGAGAAGATATTGTGTTTTGTCCAGTGAGAAGCAAGGTTATTGGTCAACTATTCGTTGCATCAAAAAAGTACATTCTAAAACTACCAGAGATTGATTCAAAAGTAGGGAAAGCAGTCGGTGCTCGCATCGCTTAAAAGAGGACTGAGGTTGCTTAAACGCGTGAACACTGTCATATATGTTGAAGTACAATTGTTTCTAACATTCTTAAATTTATTTGAGCATCATACAGACAGAGAGTCTAAGTGCAACTGTACTTTATGATGAGGAGCTGCACCCTTTTATAGAATGTAAAGGTAATATTACTGAAAAACATGGAAATTTTGGCACTTCTTGGGTGAAAGTGTCATTCAACTAGTGAAGTTAAAGAAAAAGCCAAGAAAATGAGAAACATGCCCACCTGAGTTGCAAGCATCCCCGTCCCAGAAGCACTTTAGTGGCTCTTCAAAAACATCCCCCCATAACTTGTATTTACACTATACTGTAAGCCTTTTCATAAGCCACTCTCTCATGTAATGTCCCAACCAGAGACCTCCGAAATAATAAAATGAACAATTAAAACACTCTAGGTTAAAACATTTTCTTGTGCAATTTTAAAACACAATTTTAGGTCTTTGCACTCCTCACATCTTCTTAAATGAAGTTGATTAGTTGTTCTGTCAGGTAACTAAGCCTGCATTTGCAATTCAAAATAAGCCTGCATTTGCAAATCAATAATGCTGCAGCTAAGTGCAAAGCACAGAATATATTAAATAACAACAATGTGACAGTGATAGCAGAAGTTCAGCAAATAACACTCAGTGATGGAAGCGACATTTTGCTTTTCGGAGCAGAAAAAATGGTGCTTTGGAGCAGGCTCAAGTGTCTTCGGAGCAGACAAAAATGCTACAGCTTAGGGTTGCTATTGGTGTTTTCAGAGCAAATGCATGTTCCTAATGACTCCTGAAGTCTAAAACATCACTTAAGCATCTAATAAGTATTTATATTATTAAATATAGCATATGCTAGTATGCAGCTAGTATACAAGCAGTATAGTTGGCATAAATAATGGGCAGACCGGAGGAAGGGTGTCAAGAGAGTCTGGACTTTTCTGGTGTTCGGGCTGTGGGGGCCCCCCTTGCAAGTGTCCCACTTGAAATTTAGCTTTAGCACATGATATATTCGAGTTAAAAGTTAAGTATAGCACAGTCGACTTTTTGAAAGACTTTTTATCTTTTACTGCGTACTTGTGTTAAATACTCCTCAGCTGTGCGAACTATCGAAATAAAAAAAGGTGAAAAAAAAAAGACTAAATAGAACAATACAATTGCTCGAGGTCGGACCACATGCTTTTTTTTTTGAAGTTTTATTTGAAGGCACGATTTAATTCTTATATGAATAAAATTACAACCCATATTAAAAATACGAATTGGACATGATGGCCTGATACGTGTCACCCCTTGAGATTTTTCTGGATTTACGCCACTGCTAGGACGATAGTGTATACAGCGTGCTTTTGGTTTTGCTTATGCTCACGGGATGGTCCCATGGTTCAACTTCATTCTTTTTATTTTGCCAACACCCCCATTTTGGAGCAGTTACTAGCAAATATTGCACTTTGGAGCAGCATTTCTCTTTTGGAGCAGTTTGGAGCAATTGCAGCAGCACCTCCATCACTGAACACTGCACAGATTACTGCGTAAATATTTTTTCTCGCCATGAGTGGCAAAACACAAATAATAAATGAAGGAGGAGAAGCTTTCTTGAAGATACTTCAAGATGTAATAAAGTGTCTGCATTCCACTTATGCTTTTCTTTTGACTCTTTCTCTTTCAAGTAGAACCACTGCAGTGTCCATCAAGTGTGAGACAGTTTCATTCATACCCATTTCTTCAATATGCACTCACTTTTGACGTTCTTTTTAATCCAAGTATGTCCGACATTTATGAAAAATAATGTGAAACAAGATGGTGTATCAAAACGAGACACTGTTCCTAATTTCATCTTTACAGTACCTTACACTGCCCCCAAAACCTACAAGGACGGCCTTGACACAAATACTAACACTTGCTAGTTTGAGCCACGAAACATAGGTGGCAAATGGCGCTGCTCACAAATTGCACACAAAAAGGAGCTCAGTATGGTAACTCACCCTTATCTTTGTCTTGTCACCATTTGGATTGGATACATGGTACAGAACTCCATCGAAGTCGGCAATTTTGACTTCGACAGCCTCTGGTTTATTGCTGGAAGACAGAGAATGGAAGTGAAACGGGCAGTACGCGTTTATTTTTTATGCAACCACACACACTGCACCTTAGTAAGAAGACAAAACAAATCAACAAAGTAAATAGCGGTCTAATGCAATAGTTTCAGCTTAAAGGTCTACTTGTTTTGCACTGCACCCATGAAATGGAAAACTTCACTACGATCACACAGTGCGAAATAATTGTTGCATGCAGTAGCAACAATAGCATGTAGCCCGCAGAAGACAACAATAGAGAGAAGGCATAAGCGCTCATTATGAGCCCTTCATATCCTAACAATGCCGCAACCACAATGCTTGCAGACTGCTCTCTCTCTATCACAGGACAAGCGATCAGACTGCCGAGTCATCCGTCAAAAGCAAACTTAAGATGCTGGCACGCTTGACTGTGTTCGTAATTTATGCGTCTAGAGAGACGGGCGACGTGACCTACTGGCTGTTGCCTCTCGCCTCAACAAACTCGTCACTGACTATACGTTCAAATAGATGCAGAAAAATCTTAAGGAACAATTTTGATTTTGTCCAAGCAGTCTTATGGCATAACTAGTGGTAAATAAAAAATCAGGTTTTTTATGCACTTCCATTTTCACAAACAGGATCACAAACTTTGCATACTAGCGACAGATTGTAAATGTAAGGTTAATTTATTTCTTCACTTCGTGTCCTCAATGTCTGTCTTTTGCGTCGTTACACGAATTAAGCGGAATTTTACATTTACGAAACGGAAACGTAGTGAGAAAGAACTAAGACCGTTTTCATGACAGCCATGTTCAGAACGGGCCGTTTGATTGTTACGGTGCGGCACAATTCAAATGTTCGAAGTGCTTTGCAACAGCAGTTCAACACTCCGAACTGTTGCCGTTGAGCATTCGGAAAGGCATGCGCCTTTTTGTTTCTTTAACCAGCACGCACGCGTTTAGTACGACAGGTCTTGGTGTCGCACTTCGCTTGGTGTTGGTCGCGATCGACTAATACGCTAACCGTAGTCGCTCGAAGTGCGGTGCGGTAAGGTGCCCGCGAAGTTCCTAGCATAGCGGAGACTTCGCCGAACTAACTCTCCAAGCGTGCAATTTTGTGGCCGAAGCAGTCGAGCGAGTTTACGCGAACAAGAGTAAAACGAAACAACGATCGAAAACTTGAAGGGAAGCTATCAGAGGCGGTTTCGCAACGACGCGACACAATTTAAAGAAAGCAAATGATTCACGTCGCCAAGTGGGTAGGGCAGGAAGCGCACAGGTGCACGCTGTCATAGCAAGGTGCACCGTTTTACACGACAATACAGAAGCCAATGGCCAGTGACAAAGTGACAAAGAGTGTCACATGACGTTGAAAACCACACGCAACAGTACTAGTAGATGCAGATGGTCAAAGAAGAATACACTTTTATAAACTCTTATCAGCAATGGACGATCGCCGAAGAGCCGTGCCGCCTTCTTATAGAAGTGAAACGAAATCTTAAAGGGCCAAAAGCAAGGTACTTACCCTGACTGGGCATTTCTGAACTTGAGCCGTAGTGTTTCTTCGATTATTCTGTTGTTGATTTCCAATAATATCATCTTAACCGGCAAATATAAACTTCACACAACACCCCGAACAACTACACCGGAAACCCACCGGCCGGACGCGAGGACGTGACGAAAAAGCCGTCACTAGTCTCGTATAACCTTAAGTTTGGTTGCAGTGAGCAGAGTCAATTTGTAAACAAATATATACCTAATTAAACTTTACTTTACAAATATAATGTTGTGTCACAAATAGTTATTGAGTATAACAAATTGAACAAGAAAAAAAAAAACGCCAGTTACGTATTCAAGAAACGAGAAGGTGGTGAATGAACTAATCGTACGTAGCAAGATAAACCAGGCATCTCAGTTTTAGTCTCTGCGCTGCTAAATTATAACTTACCCTTTGCTACAGTTCTACTAAAAAGATCAACTGCATGAAAATGGTAAGTATGGCCTCATTTTGTTCTACAGATTCAAAAACGGCGCCGCAACACATAGGTTACGCATTGAGAACTGTGCACTTGGAACAAGCGCAGTGCTAAACGAAGAACACATGAACATACATTTGAGTAGGGACGCTGGTAGTCTCCTGAAACACTGGATCTATGATAGTGGTATAATATTTACTTGCTTACATGATTTCAAACAGTTGCTTCCAGCGTGTGCAACCAGAATGTCATGGCTACGTGGTAGGTTATCGCTTGAAATCCCCGCCTATAAACGATTTTACACTATTTCGCCGATGCCGACGGTTATCAATGTCATTATCATTTGTGTGGTCAAGCGCAGTGAACTTTTTCCTTTGATTCTCGTGGCATTCTACGTCTTATAGTTGCACAGACGCGGGCTGTTTATTGAAATGTTGTGATGACGTGTATACATTGCGTTTAAAGCGGGCCTCGCTTCACGCGTCACAAAATGCACCGTTGCAACGTATGTTGATCGTAATGTTCTCTTTTCAGGAAGCACTCATCATGGAGTTCGGGGAAGACATGTACTCCAAGATTAAGACGAATCTATCACGGGTGCAGATATATGAGAGGAGGGACCTGCAAGAGAAAGCGTTGACTTGCATACCCGTTTCAGAGCTTACACGCAAGGCGCAGCTCACGATGATTAACTATGCATCCAGTGCCACCCTGGCCAAAGATAAGCGGGATCCCGGTTTCAGAGACTTTTTATTAATGGAACTGCTGCACTGGTTTAAGCAGTCTTTCTTTTCCTGGGTGGATACGCTCGAGTGCAGCCATTGCGGTGGTTCCACAACAAACACTGGAGCTGGAGAGCCGACAGCCGACGAAATTGCCAAAGGGGCGTCGCGCGTTGAACTGCACGGCTGTCGCAAGTGCGGGACCCACGAACGGTTTCCCCGGTTTAACCACCCTGCCAAGCTGATTGAAACACGGAGAGGGCGCTGTGGAGAATGGGCCAATTGCTTTACGTTTTTTGCCAGGTCGATGGCCTTTGACGCTCGGTATGTGCTCGATTGGACTGATCACGTTTGGACTGAAGTCTACTCGGACAGCCAGCAGCGTTGGCTTCACTGCGATCCGTGCGAAGCTCTCTGCGACGCGCCCCTCGTTTATGAGGCTGGTTGGGGAAAGAAGCTATCCTACATTCTTGCCTTTTCCAAGGACGAAGTGCAGGACGTCACTTGGCGCTACACCTCGAACTTCGAAGCTGTTCGCGCAAGGCGCACGGCTTACTCGGAAATGGAGCTCATTCAGCTCATGCTTTCACTAACCCGGCAATGCCAGGAGTCGTACACGCAGAAACGCAGGGAGGAATTGCTGTTGAGGAGAGTGCTGGAGCTAGCGGAGTTCTTGACGCCGAGGAAAGCTACCGAGAGTGAGTTGCACGGAAGGTTGTCGGGAGCTTTAGCGTGGCGGCAGCAGAGAGGTGAGCTTGGAAGCTGGGTGCCCTTTGCATACAAGCCGATCAACAGCAACTGCAGGAACATTATTTTCAAGTACTCGTCAGCAGTGGACAAATACTCCATCAGTGAGGATGGCAAAGAAGCAAGCCAGATTTCGGGCTGGGCAAAAGGAGCTTTCTCTATTGAGAAAATGTTTCGGAAGGTTAGACATGCTTCAGTGTTGTTGTTGTTGTGATGGAGCCATTGTGGACCATTTGTGATATATAGTTCTACTGCAATTGCTGGTTAATGCCTGTGACTGCAACATTCTTTTGCTTTCTTGAGGTGCCCGACAGTGAGAAGTTTCTTACCAAAAAGCGCAACTAAACCAAGGTTGTGTGTTGGGTACAGAGGATGTAGATACTGACACACAATGCACTTAAATTATACTCGCAGCTGAACACTGCAATGAAGGAGCTAGTTGAGAAACATTATTTTACTACAGTACAGTTGCAATAGATGGTAATTGAAATGCAGTGGCAACGTCACCTGAGGGGTGGCACTGCCATACTATTTTTTAAAGAGCTCCAAACAACTTTTAAAAATTTCTTTACAAATTTTGTGAAAACCCCTGTATCACAAACAGCATGCTGGATGGTTATCTTTTGGAAATATGGCATGGCTATGTGCTACGGTTAAGCTACAAATTCAAAGTGCATCTGACATTACCTGGATTGATGTTAATGATCAGTTAGCCTTTAAGAGACGACTGTTGCAGTGTGCGAATGCTTGCTGTAGGAACTAAGAAAGGAGGTGGGGGTGCTCTGTTATGGGTCATCGAACTTTTTTACGGAGCTTCCATTTAGTCATTTGCTCAGAGGGTGGCAAGTGGTGCCAATAGGGAGTATAGCAGAGGTGCATAAGAAACTGCAGGGACTATGTATTTATTTATCAGCCACCTCGAAATTTGTAAAGACACCTTTGAAACGAATTTTTGTTATAGTATGTTCATTGTAAACTTGTGCATAGCTGCTGGAAGTTTTTTTGCTCAATGCTCAGTGTGGCTTAGGAAGATGTAGTGGGTGATGTTTGCAGATGGGGGTCTGCTCTCTCATGACAGCACTAACAACAATGCCACTGTAGTGGCTTCACTGCTTTGCTTGAGCTGTTCTCTTTCTTTGAGTCCCACTGTTTGTATTTTTACTACATGCCAAATAGGGAAATATGGAAATACTACATGCGAAATAGTTTGAAATGGGGAACATCATGCAGTTAGATCCCAGTGCACCAATTCATTCTGAGAATGCTCACTTGAGTAAAGGCATTCCAATATGGGCTCTGTTAAACAGTCACAGTTCCAATGGCAGTGCACCTGTGGCTGCTACTACTAGTACAACAGCATAATGTTTGTTAACGATTGAGAGGGTAATGTCTGCTGCAGACATGATAATGATTGTTGATTTATCATGGTATACACATTTACTTAGGGATAAATGTGCTTGTATGTTGGTGGAGAAGCCATACCAGAGTCGTCATGTATACCTGTGCACCGTGGTAGCTCAGCATGTAATGTGTTGCACTCCTAACCTCGAGGACGAAAGCAGTCCAGCTAGCATGATCACAGCAATGGCCTGGTCTGAAAAAAAAAAATCTAATACTAATTGACTTCTAGTCAAAACTGTCTTTCATGAGTCTAGCTGGCTTCTTGCATGGTATGCTTCATTTGGCTTATTCGAATGGTTTATGCCTTTGAGTAGGCTGTCATCATTAACTGTTCTGCAAGGCTTGGATCTCTTGGTGGAATGCGTTATTTGAAAAAAAGGTAAAGAATGGACAAGGGTGTCATTGTGGTGATATCATAAGCAGCACACGGGATTCAGTGTTTCAGCTAACGCTTTATGACAGGCTTACATGTGACATGGAAGGCAGTGCACAGGTCTTTAAAAACTTGATATCTTGAAATATCCTTCTGTTTATAGTTTGAAGAGAAAATAGCGTTTGGATGCAAAATTACATTTCCTGCGCTTTTGTGAGGGTTTTAGAGTCTGGCATTGGATTGAGACTGAACAAAAACAATTTTGCTGTATATAGCCATTGTTAGCTGGCAATTAGCCAACATTACCTGACACCAGCCAACCATCAGCCAGTTCTGGTCGTATTAAGGTAGTTGTGCTTGGTCACACATTGCCATAGCTCATTAAAAAAGTGGGTGGAAGAGTTCAAGAGAGATTCCATTAGAAAATTATCTTTAAAGAGTTGGCACACTTTATTAATAATTCTAGTACTGTACTTATAACTTAATCTTAGTTCTGAGTCCAGTTACTTTTGAAATGTATTGCAAAGGTCAAATTTGCATCTTTTGATAATATACTACTGTAAGTCTCTCAAGTTGTAGTCCACATGGTGTGTAGCAGCTCCTAGCAGTCTTTTGCAAGCTGTGGTGGTATTTATGCAAACTCTCCTTTGCGCCAGTAAGATGCAATAAGTGCATTATTTTTGTGATGGAGATTTCTGTTTTTACAAGTGATGATGTGCTGTTTGCAAGGTAGAACAAGACTGGAAGATGAGCTACTTGGCGAGACAGGAGGGTGCGCATGAGGGTTCACTGTCTTGGAGGCTCGAGATCCCTCCTGGAAGGACAGTGGAAAAGCTGGACCTGACCTGTGTGGGAACCACGTATGAAAATGGATCAGTCAACTGGTCCGTGTCTACGGATGAGGAAAACATTCCCATTAAGGGCTGTGAGTATAATCAAGCAAGGCCTTATACACCGGCACCTGCAATTCTTGAGGTTTGAATTTTCTTCTACGTGATGTTCATGAGTTGTCAACAACTTCAACTCGAGCACCACTGTCTTAAAAATACATGGTATGTTGTGCTTAGATTCTTTCCTGGTCATGCTCAGTGTTTGAATTTTCTGGAATAGAGGATGTATTGTTTGTTTTTAGTGAATCTGAGGTTTTCATTAAGCAATTTTTGGCAACACTTTAAATTAAAGGCACACGAAAGGCAACTAATAAGTTGACGTTGATTGGTGAAATGGCAATCCAGAAACCTTGTAGAGTTACTTTTGTGCCAAGGGATTGCCTTTTTTGAAATTAAATCATGTTCTGGCCGTTCGCATCGGGTTAGCGCATTTCAAATTACTCGCCTCAAGCAGAACATTTCGCGTCACTGTTGCCGCAAACAACGTTGCTTAGCTCTACTGCGTGGCTGCGGACACTAGTAGCAATAGAACGAAATTTGCGAGAGCCACAGCAGCAAAAGCGACCATTGAACCATTTCCTGCCATGGCCTGCGAGATGGCAGATGTGCTTGGTTGAACTGGGCCCCGCTAGATGACACGACCTGTCCAGTTTAACCAGGCGAAAATTGAACTTTTGAACAACTAGTGCCATTCCCCATAGTAACGTCCGGCGGTTATTTTTTCCATGAATCAAACAAACGAACAAGTGGCATTTCATTGTGCCTCTTTATGCAAGGAAGGTTCTTTATTTAGTGCTGCTAGTTCAATTTCTAGTGATTAATTGTAGGCAGTACATCTCAAGGAATCGAGACCATTTTGTGAATGTCCTATAGTAGTGCATGAGTTCTCATGCATTTACCTTAATTTCTCGGTAAATAGGGCATGTCATACAATGAGCTTTCACTCCGACATAAATTATTTGACTTTAGCGTCCCTTTGAGTATAGCTGCTTTGGTAAAGTGGGAATGGTGATAGCTAGTGCATGCTCACTCACAGTGCACACTTACAGTATTTGTACATTTTGTTATTTGAACGCAAATGCACTTGTGTTCAGGAAAATGCCAAGCCCAAAATATAGGAGATAATCATGTCCTCTTGCAAAATTTGCAAGTATTAAAAGGGCCTTATAGTGAAAGAATAATTTGATATGTTGTGTCAAACTTCCCAATATACTATGCCGCGGTCCACCTTGGCTCTGCTCATATATTTTTATTATGAATATGATGTAAAATATAAACAGATTGCAAAAAAGAAGAAGTTTCATTGCCGGGCGTCATACCTAAGACTTCTCGCTCCGCAGCTCGCGGCACGAAACCACTAGGCCACACCGTGTACATTGCCAAGCTTACTAACAGCGAGCTATTTATATACACCGCATACAATTTGCAATTCTCGAAGCTCAGCAGCTTCGGTGTGTTTTCATCATCAGTAGTGAGATGGCATGAAGGGCATGCGTTGAGCGTAACCTAAAGGTCGTCGCGCTGTGCGTTCTAATGCTCGCGCATATCCTCAGGGCGTGATCACTCGAGCACGCGCACTTATCTCGTTATTGGGGCGTTTTGTATGTCTTTGCTTCCACTGCTAGCTATGTAGCTTTGAAGTTACAGCACGAAGGTTTCTTTGCTCGCTGTAGCAGCTGCGTTTACACAAGAAGTGTGCTGCTCACAGATGAAGAAATAAGAATTGTGTCATACTAGAATAAAACAAAATCGTCAACCAAGGTAGAATGCACAAAAATTTTTGTGCATTCTACCGGAGTCCGGCAGATTCCCATTTGTCTTCGACCAAATAGAAATCCGCTGGACTCATGACTATAAGACTTGTGACAGCCATTCACTCTCGCCCCATGTCTTTGCGTTCGAGCAGCGCATTTTAAGTGTCGAGCTGTGACAGTCGTTAGTCAGTGCTCATCCTGTGTATGCTTTTTTCGTGTGTGCTTTCTGCTTGAGGTCTACACTGCAAGTTTTAAAACTGCTGGCCGTTCCTCGCGTAACATTACAATTCGTCGGAGGGATCAGCCATGTTTTTGTTTTTTTTATTCACAAATTTTTCACCCACAGATTGCATCCAAGTTTCCTAGCTATTATGTTGTATCTTTTCTTTTTGTTTCAATCTGAAGGTTTGTTTGGGAATGCCTGTACAATGTTTTGTAATATCTTGCTAGATACCAAGTCTTGCCAGATTTTTGTCTGCTAGATACAGAGTCTTGTCTTGCCAGATACTATGTCTTGCCAGATTTTTGGTCAGCCGTGAAGAAAACCTATCAGATGTAACACTCAAATACATTTTTGTTTAAATGGGAAGCAGCTCTTTGACTCACATGTGTAATACCTGTGTCACACGGGCACGCAAAAAGTCTTTTAAGTAAGCGGTCTTTTACGAAGTTGAAAGACTTTTAACAAAGAGGTGTTTGCGGCGCAGACACACGGCAGCAACGATCTCCTTTTAGTGTTTTCGTTCGAAGACGCTAGCGAAAGCGTGGCGCTAGCAGTTAAAAGAGAAGCAATGAAACTTAAACGATGTATCACGACGTACAAATTAAAGACTTGTTGCACTGCTCGTTTCTTCAAATAAATTTAAGAATAAGAGATGAAGAAACACCAATGTGAATGTTTTTTGCACCAGATAAGGAAGCATTCCCATAACTAGCGACGTGCACAAGTCCGTCTGGCACCACTGTGCTTTTATTTACCGTATTTGTTTTTCGCTGCTCTCGACTGTTCTCGACACGTTATGGGCGACCGTACGGGAGAAAAAGCGAGGATCGCAAGCTTCACGGCCTGCCTTCTCGCTCTGGAAAGCGAGGCAGACGCTGCAAAAGCCGCCAAGGAGAGGATAAAGCAGCGCAAGACCGAGCGTCACCACGTGATATTGCCGACGCGTTGTAGCTGCTTACGAGAGTAGAAAAGGAAATAACCATTAAAAGAGTTCATTACACCTTCTGCAGGATATGAAATTTGTTTTTACAAAGAGTTTTGGTGACAGAAAAATAAGCATTCGCTCTTTTTTTCCCACCACACGAAAATTGCTGGCGCCCACTGGTTTCGAGGCTACTCATTCGGAGCCGTAAAAGAGATCGACGAACGCCGTTTACGAAAAAGACCGCTTCTGAAAAGGAGTTCGCTCTGTGCCGTGTGTCTGCTGTCAGGAACTCCTTTTCAGAAAAAGACCGCTTACTTAAAGACTTTTAAGTGCCCGTGTGACAGGGGTATAACACCATACGTACGTGCATCTGTACAAACGCCGCAGGTGTTGGAGCAGTGCCAAGTAGGTTACACCACAGCTGGGCGTTGACATCATGCTTCCCTCGCAGATGCGCTGACATCACTCTGTTCCTCACCCGCAGCACGCTCGCCGCAGCACCCACAGCTGTTGGCTCCTCCGCCCGCTCTCAACACACACGTCTCTCGCTTAACCCTCTCCACCACCTGCAACGCTCGACCGCACATCGAATGAAAACGCTCTTTCGGCTCGTCTATCTGCGATAAAACTTGCACGAAACCCAACCAGCCTCCCGCGTCTTTGCGTTCCAAACAAACATTTATTCGAGTAAATGAGACAGAGAACTTCAATTCAAACCATTTTTTCGTCACCCACGTCGATGCCCGTTTCGACCAGGTCAATGCTGTGCGCACCGCTGCTGCTTCACATCCCATCAAGGTTCCCTTTGGGAAGATGGTCCATAATTTGCCCTACCTTTAACTACCCACACAGGTGCGCTGGTTGCTTACTCTGGTCTGTTGATGACTGCGCAGTAAAATGAGAAAAATGTACAGCGGACTCCTCTTAAACGGAACTCGAAGGGGCAAGAAAATTTGTTCCATTTATGAGAAGTTTCATTTAATCAAAGCCTACAAAATGAATTAAATAAGACTTTATTTTAAAAGCACCAACTGTGGCTGACAGAACATAACGATTTTGAAGTATACAATACTACTATAGTGGATTAGAAAGAAAAATGTTGCTAATATTGCTTACAGATATCTCTGTTTACAGCCGCACTTTCTCCAGAAACTATCTTAAAGACAACACCATGCCGCTTTTTAAAATGGCTCAGACAGCCATCACTCACGCGCAAGTGCTCGATCCCCATGCGAGTAGCAATCTCTTTGGCCTTCTATTTGAAAATGGGGCTGCTGATCAGGAAGTTCGCACTGCGCCCACACTTGAATCAGAGAAAAAGAGCATTTTCAATTTCTTTGTACGCGCCGTTCTCATCCGCACCTGTCTGTGGCGAAGTTCCCAAGCTTTGCAGCTTCTTCAATCTTCCCTTTGTTCTTGAGTATCCGCAACAGTGTGGGCTTGGGAATATTGAGCGTCTTTACAGTTCCTGTGTTCGATAGGTCGTTGCGGTCATGTTCTTGAATGATTTTTACTTTCGTTGCGAACAAAAGTGCATTGTGCTGCCATTTTTCGTTTCGATCTCAAGTTCACAATGAGATGGAAACAAAAAAGATGGAAACAAGATGGATCGTTTGCTGCTCGGTGTGCCCGGACATGTGCAATCGCTGTATTGGCTTGACTAGGCTAGCATTGGCATTTGTTTCATGGTTGCTAGAGTGCTGTTGCCACTTCCACCATTCATAGATTTTGCCCATTTCAGTTTCATTTAATGGATGTAAGGGAAAAAAATGTTCTGATTACCTGAAACTTTTTATCATTAAATATATAGGAGACCAACCAAATATGCCTAGATAGTTACATTTTTGCGGCTTTTCCGTTTAAGCGAGTTTTGTTTAATGAGAGTCCACTGTATGTATTTGCATATCCCCACTGAAGCAGATATGTGTGACAGAGCATATTCATTTAGTAAAGCGATCAACTGCACGCCGGCTTTCTCAGAGCATGTAGCTTGTTGCATGTGTTTGTTCAGTCTTTCACTGGCTCGTTGATTGAAGTTAAGTGGTGAACTACCTTCAGGATTGTCAAACTGTTTCAGCCACCTAAAATCTTCGTTTTGCTACCCGATAAAGGTCTGTCTACACTTGTGACCTCACTTCGCTTGGTGATAGAATGGTAACCCACTTTGTTTCCCCGAGTAACGATTTTCACCACTGACACATCTGCACAACTTGCAATATACGCTTCAATGTTTTGTGCTACAGTTCATATAGTGCTTCTTGCAATGATAATATTGCTCAATATCAGCTGCATTTATGTTAAAGAGCTGGTTTCTTGTAACTTCTGAGGCACATGGTGTTAAAGTGGCAGCAGCATATGTTGCACTTATATATTATTACTACACTTGGGGAGAACTTTCCGTGGCATCAGGAGCTCCTGCTCTTGTACTGCTCCGTGAAGTAGTTTGGTTTGGCTCACGTTTCGAATGAGGTCCGCCGCCACGTAATCCCACTGCACATAATTTGATACGCCTGCTTTCACAGCCATTTGTAAGAGAAATTCGACACAAGCCTGTCGTCGGAACAGCTGGAGGGCGACTCGCGCTCACCTAAAGACGACGCCATTTTGACTGGGAGGTGCAAGTAAAACGTGCGACATTTTCAGATGCACAAAAACGCGAAATGGCTCTTCAGAAAGCAACAAGAAGTAATTGTATATCCCCTGCATGCAGCGTCTCTTTATAAACAGCAGCAGAAGTCAGAGGGTGGTGGAGCTCGTCATGCAGTTGTTGGCAGCCATGAAGTAGCAGTGTAATAGAGAGAGACTCATTAATTAAGCAAGGTTTTTCATTTAGTGGCATTGAGAGGGTTCTGCAACACTTTTTTAAGTAATCATCAAATAACTTCCCTAAAAGAGCTTATCGACTCATGAATCGACAGCTGCAAAATGTTGAAAGACATAAAATATCAGTGAGTTACTATAAATTATCGCACGCTTCGTGTTTTCTCTGCATTTTGTAGCAGTGAGAGCGCTGAAAGCGGCATAGGGTGGGAATGGCAAGAGGGCAAGAAAATATGCGTCTTTTCTTCATCAACGCGCGTCATGACCTTGAGCACCTTAAAAAAAAATCTAAAAAAAAGCATTTTCAAACTCTCCACTTAATTTCAATATGATTGCAAGTTCACCCGCACACATGTGGCGGCATCTTGTGGTGGGTTCTGGCAAATATACTGCTCACGATGCTTGAATTGACCAACGGCCGCAAATTTTAATTTATGGTGTGATCATTAAGGTTCATGGTATCATTAATGTAAAGAAGGGGGAACCAATTTTAGTTGTGTGTTCATAGGAGGCTCCACTACCAATCAGCGGCATTTTCTGACCAAGCTTAAATGGTGTTGCAGGACCTCTGAAAAATTCTAATGGCAATTATAACTATTCTTGAGCTGTGTTTACACTGCTCCTGCCGCTGTGCTGTCGAGGTATCATTGATGCCCCAAATGCAGTTTGCATGCACAGGTGTAGAAAGTCTTTAAAAAACCCAAGCGATGCACACTGCATTCGTCTGCCTTCCAGCATTGTACATAATTCATTGGTCAGTGATAACACGACACCATCAGTAATGGCGCCTTTTGGCCACACCCAACTCTTGCACCAGTGAGCACCATCGCATCATCATGCATTTAGCTTCAAAAATGACCAAGCTGTGCGGATGCACCGTCACACCTCTTTCAATTAGCTGTACAATGTGGATTAGGCTGTTCTGTGGCTTTTCTCCCTGGCATGAGCACTGTGCTCACACACACTTGCAGGACTTATTATCAGCGCACGGCTTATTATCAGCTGTTTATCACGTCATGATGCCTGCACTGGTCTCGCAGAAAAACGGCAAGCGCCAGCTGAAAGAAAATAAACCCATGTTATTGTTCAGTAACTTCTCTGAAGTGCCAACAGTTTCACGTTATACCGTTGAAGTGGGAAACTTTAACAATTTCGGGACTGTGAAAGAATTGTCTGCTTTTGGGTAGTCGAGGAAATATTTTTCTCCTGCCATATAAATCGATTGATGCCAGGGCGTAGAGTATGAGATGGTAGAAAAATTGGTGTTTTTAACAGGATTAATTTCAAACAACAGATTTATTACACATATCCGAAAATGATGGAAACAGAAAAATGCAAGCAGAAGAAAACTTCATATGAACATTGATGCTACTCTGCATAGCGTAATCATTAGAAAAAAAAAATCAATATATGCATTCTGAACACAGAGCTTTTATGGAATAATGCTGCAAATATTAGCTCTGTAAGTTGTTCTGTCAAAGGGGTCTTGAAAGCTGACCAGTTTGCGATGTCAGATTCGTGGTTGGCAAGCCAGTCACCAAACTTTGGTTCACCAACCACGAATGTGCACAGCTCTTTCTGTTCTCCTTGGTAGCACTAAGAGGCTTAACATCAATTTTTTTGCTTACCGGTTCCATTGACCTGTTTCTCCTTTTCTTTTCAGCCAATGGGGCACATTCAATAGAGTTGCAGAAAAAGGCAAAGTTTGTGTGCTTGAAGGCAGTGGTTAGTGGTGGCCGAGGAACCACTGCCTGGCAACATGCGCAGCTGTGCAGGGAATCATTGGAAAACCAGCAATACAGTTTAGAGATGGCTGTGACATTTTCAGACTGAAGAGACAGAAGCATACACCAAGTATACTATTCACTTTATGCAGCATGACTAACTCCTGAGGAGTTATGTGATTCTCAAATTAGGTGTTGAGTTGCTTTTAAAGAATTGAGTGGAAATCTTGTTTATTATACTTAGGCTTTTACACTAAGTGTTTAAATGCATTGGTGTATGCCTGGAATCGGATCTTTCAACGTGCATGTTTTTAATAGCCTCACATGAATATTATACCGCACTTGAAATTTTCTAATCCTCGCAGGAAGTGCCACATTATAAATGATAGAGTTGTTTACATGAGTGTTGAACACTGTTACTATATTCTAGCGAAGCTGAACCTTTTTGTAGCTTTCTGGCACATAAAATTTGGGAATAAGCTCCTTCTTTACTTCTCCATTGGGGTGTGAATAAATTTGGTTCATTAAATTGTGACATGTTGGCATGAATTTTTTTTAAACATCTTACAGATTGTGATTTTGCAGTTACATTCTGTTATGTTTATGGCTTGTCAGTTATTGTAACCAAGGCACTCAATATTTAAGTGCCTGCAATACGACAATCCAATAGAATATAATGATAAGGATTGTTTGAGATTAAGACAAGTTTGTGGTGTTATTGGTAAAAGTGTCACTAGTGATTATTAACGATAAAATAATTGCACAGAGAAGTTTTCGGGTTGTGGCAGAATATTTCTAATGTAACCTCAAACAAGGTTTTTGATGCCATATTTTACACTAAAATTGTGTTATGTTACAGTGACAGTGTCAGGGTAAGTGCTATTACATTTGTAGTATTTTTTATCTACATATTTGTTCCTATTTGTGTGCTATGACATACATGCAGCATGTAATAGTGTGTTGGCAATAAATTGGGGCTTCGAATGTAAAAATAAATCTATTTGAAAATTGACACCGTGTGAGCGTATTGGTTGTATCTTATCGAAAAGTTTGATGAAAGTATGATGGAACTGGCAGTGCCAAATAGCTGAAACTGTATAGCATGGATTGATAATATCCATGTATCCTCACAGTGATCCTGAAATGTATGTCGGGTAAATAGAGGTGCTTTGATGAAAGCTTTAGATAAATTAAGGCAGTATGCCAGAGCTCGTGACTCTTGTCGAAATTTAGGGCAGTGCCAGACATCATTGCAAAGTGCAGAGGCTGCTCAGATGCCAAATATTGGATAGAAAATTTGCGGTGCTTGTGATACAATTTTTTACTGCCCTATGTTTGAGGTAGAAGGAGTCCATGCAGCATGTGAGCATTGTGTCAAGAAATTAATATCGCTTTTTGTTTCTAGACATGTTGCAATACTTTCATCTTCACCAGTCAATTGCTAGGAATTTTGGCACTTTGTTAGGGAGAGTGCCAGGATTTCGTTTTTCAACACTGCTAGCTTAGTGGAGCTTCATGAACGTGCTAGAAGTTCTTTTAACGGGCTATGCACCCAGGTATATTGTTCAATGAATAGGTGTTTAGTTTTCACTGTATTTGTTGTATCCTAACGTTTTGTCGAACATGACATTTTGTTCATGTCACATATTGTAAGACAAACAGCATAAATGATGCTTTTCATCAGCTCTCACTGCGGGTATTTCTATGGTGCCAGACAGAAAACCTGTTGTACTGTGCTGGGACAACTTGTGAACTTCTTGCACTTCACTACTAAGGCCCCATAATGTGGCGCTGATATTAAGAGAACAGGTCTAATCCCATTAATATGCTTTTATTCTTTATGACCTCGATAGCATGTATACTACTCTATACTCCATGTCGCAAGGTGGCTGCAGTAATGTGGATGCTATGGGGCCGGTTAGCCAAGAGGACAAGCGAGCACGCCTCATAACTCATGATTTGTTCATCCATGCCACATCGTCTGCTTGGCATCCCCGTTGCCGTAACGCGTTGGGCGAGTAAAGTGAGCAAGGGGTAGCAACCAACGCTTTTAGCATTTGGCAGCAATGAAAACACACACACACACGCACGCACACACATACACACAAAAGAAAGAGAGAGAGCCATCAAGGCAGCACACATTGACGCTGTTTCTTGTGCCGCTCAAATTAAAAAAAAAAACGTTGCTGTTGTTAAATGTAAAGCACCTAGTTCTAAACCAACTCTTGTGTTAGCGTTATAGTATTTACTTCCTGGCACTTCAACAGCAACGTTTTCATGTCTGTTTGGCATCGTTTCCAAGGTTCACAATTTTGCAGAGACAAGGCTTAATTGGTGTGGCTGAATAAACAGCTAATATCAATAATGAAGACAAATTATATCTGATAATTAGTCCTCAGTGCGAGATGGCACTAAGTGATTGGAGATTCGACCGTTCATTTAATTCTGCCAGGACAGGGGCCAAGTTGGCTGTTAAACATCATGAGTAAGAACATCCTTAGATGCTAAATTATGTTTACAAAACTTGAGAGTTCCAGTTCTTTTGCTTCATTTTCAAATGGCCTTTTTTTTGTTTGTAATCTAGGGTGCATATCTGCCATAAGTGATTATTAATTTTGCGAATCTACTTTGAGAGCCTGTAACAGTTGCTTACTACACCCAGTTTAACAAATTAAACAGTCGCTGTAAACTACAGTGGTGGTTTTGTTAAAGTGGGTCCAGAAGGGTGTAAATGCTCACTTGCCCTTGAGAGATCGTAAATAAAACAAAATTTATGTCTTGTGGTATGTATCTTAAAAATTTAAGATATGCATTGAGGTATATCAAGTTGCACCATCAAGAAAAGCTTGCCAATTCATGGTCATAGCATTCATTTAATTTTTATTTACCCTCAAGGCCGTGTGGCATTATAGAGGGGAGTGGTTACAAGTTTACAAGGAACCGAATACAGCACGAAAATAAGTCTTTAACTAACAAAAACTAATTATACAATATTAGCTGCATAAGGACAATGACTTCAATACAGTATGAACGTAATACATAAAATACATAATGCTTTTTATACTTCTTAATTATATAAAATTAAGCAATTCTTGACTGAAAATATTATTAGTAATAGTTACTATGCCTTCGGGTAGATGGTTCCAATCTGCTAATGTACAAGGTATGAATGATAGATAAAAATAATGCAATGCCAACCTTATGACCGTGGTTGATACGATGATATTGTACTGAGGATTGAGGATTAGTTGGTCATGAAGGGCGGTATGATGGATTATTCTGTGAAAAGTGGCCAGGCGGGATAACTTACGATGGGATACAAGTGAAGGGAAGCCTGGGTTGGATTTCATTAAAGATTATACTGGCAATGCGATTATAGTTGGACAGTATGAAACAGACGGAGTTATTCTGTACAAGTTCTAGTGAAGCGATCAATTTATCGTGGTAAGGATCCCACTCAGAAGAGGCACATTTGAGTTTGGATCTTGCCAAAGTTTTATGCAGGAGTGATTGTAATGCTGATGGTGCTTTTGAAAAGTTACGACGTATGTAGCATAACATTTGATTGGCATTATTAGTAATGTTATCGATGTGAGGTGCCCAAGATAGGTTTGTCATGCTAAAAACACCCAAGTATTTATAAGAGTTGACCGGGTCGAGCGGGACGTTGTTTAAGTAGTATGTTAGTCGGGGTGTTGGGTGATCCTTATTACGCGCGTTACCTTACATTTACCAATGTTTAAGTCCATTCGCCATGTGCTGCACCAGGCTGCTATGGTGTTAAGATCAGATTGAAGGAATGAAATGTCATTATCACTGGTTACTTGCCCCGCCGCGGTGGTTTAGTAGCTAAGGTACTCGGCTGCTGACCCGCAGGTCGCGGGCTCAAATCCCGGCTGCGGCGGCTGCATTTCGATGGAGGCGGAAATGTCGTAGGCCTGTGTGCTCAGATTTGGGTGCACGTTAAAGAAACCCAGGTGGTCGAAATTTCCGGAGCCCTCCACTACGGCATCTCTCATAATCGTATGGTGGTTTTGGGGCGTTAAAGCCCCACAAATCAATCAATCAATCACTGGTTATTTCATGAAACATGATGCAATCATTAGGAAAAAGATGAATGTTAGAAGAAATAGAAGACGTGAGGTCGTTAATATAAATAAGAAAGAGAAGCGGACCAAGGACCGACCCTTGCGGTACTCCTGAGTGGACTGCAGCCGATGACGAATTGTGATTGTTAGCAGTAACGTGCTGAATTCTGTTAGGTAAAAAACACTAATCTACTTCAGTGAATTATTGTCAAGGTTTAGTAGACTCAATTTGAAAAGTAGTAGTAAGGTGACAGACTTTGTCGAAAGCCTTACTAAAGTCTTGAAAAATACAGTCAACGTATGATGATCAATCAAAAATCTGACACAGTTTGTGAGTGAATTAGTTGTGTGTCGTATGAAAAATGTTTGCGGGAGCCATGTTGTGCAGGTGTAAAAAAAAAAAAGTTAGAATCAAGAAAGTCAATTAGGTTGGTGAAAATTACATGTTCTAATAGTTTACAGGAAGTGCTTGTTAGAAAAATTGGGTGATAGTTATTTGGAGAATGCTTATTACCCTATTTAAAAATTGGCACTACCTTCCCGATTTTCCATTGTGTAGGAATGGTTTATGTATCTAAGGATCGTTGAAAAATTTTTGTTAGTTAAATGAACTGTAAGTAACGGGGCTTTTAAGAAATTTAGGACCGATATTGTCCTGGCCAGGAGAAGAGTGAATGGGCAAGCTATTTATAAGTTTAGTAGTACCGGAAGGATGGATGGAAATTGGGGGCATGGCTGATATAGTTGGAGTTCTGTGCGTGAGGTAGAATGACATTACAAACTAAAGAAATGTTGTTTTTGAAAGGGTCATAAAGAAAATTGGCACACATGTTAGTAGGAACTGGATTGTCAAAATGATCTACTAGAGCTATGCTGCTATCTGGCAAAGGGTTAATTAGGTGCCAAAATTTGTGTACATTGGTTGAGGGCCTTTCCAGGCTGTGTATGAGAAAGAAAGTGAAACTTGGAGGATATCAGGGCGGAAACGTAAGTGTTGTGTGCAGTCTTGGAAATCGCGCAACGTTCTTATGATCTTCAGTGGGTGTTAGTCTCTCTGATTTGTAAAGTCATTTTTCATGGTTAGATAGTCGTCTGATGTAGCCGTTGTACAAGGCTGCCGGATGATGATACGGGTTAGGAATGTATTTCTTGGTGAGTTCACCTACTTTTGCAGCAAAAAGACCCCAGTTCACTTGTATGCAGCGATCATCAAATTGCGAAAAAAGGAATCAATGAAATTAGACAATTCAACATTAATGGCATCGAAATTTTCTCTTTTACTATCACACATTACCTTTTACTCAATAGTTCGTTTGGGAGGTGGCATTTTGAGGTGAAAAGCAAGCAGGGAATGATCACTGATAGCAGGCAGATAAGTGATCTCAGAAGCTAAAGTGGGTGTGTTAGTCAAAATTAGGTCAAGTGTATTTGAAGCAGTAGTGTTACTCTGTTATGTTGGGTGACCAGCTAATACAGACCAAAAACAGAACAGATATCTATGAAATCCTCAGCGTGGGCCGGAAAGGGTGATAAGCATGGTGGATCAGTGGTCCAATTGACCTACTAAGAACAAAGGCATCGAAAGAAAGCGTGAAGCAACTATGTTTATGGAATGTTGAAATATATGAGCGCACAAGGTAGAAGGAAAAACACTTGACAGGAAGATCCTGTCAAGTGTTTGCTTCTACCTTGTGTGCTCATATGTTTCCACATTATGTTTTACCAACTGGTCTGGCATTCCACTTTATTGAACTTCATGTTTATGGAATCGTTGAGTTCACTTAAGAATGTTTGTGTAGATGAAGGGGAACGATAGCATGCCCCTAAGATAATTTTGAAGTGACGAATTGTTAGTAGAACCTATACTATTTCAATTTCGTGATTAATCTGAATGCATGACGATGGATTGCTTTAGAGATGGCCA